AGCACACAGAAGCTATAGGCCAGATGGGCCATGAGCCTCCATCTCAAGCTGGAAGCAGGACTTGGTAATATGTAAGAGTCTCCTGTACGGTTATGGTGTCGAAAGCATGAAGGGGTCACAGAGCACAGCTGAGGTTTGGCACCCTGAGAGGCCAGGAAAGGCCATAGGTGAAAGTGCAGCTTCAGTTGCAGTGACGACCCCCAGGATTGAAGGGGTATGGAGAGAATCTGAGGCTTGTCACCCTGAGAAGCCGAAAGAGCCCATTGGTGAAGGTACAGCTTTAGTTTCAGTGGAGACCTCAGAATTTTGGAGATGCCAGGACCACGGGAGGACCACCAAGGGCAGCAGCAGGTGTGGAATGGAGATGGCCTGGGCCTTCGAGACAAGCTGTGTGCTGTGGATGGCAGAGTCAGAGAAGTGGAGCTGCCAGAACCCTTTGGAGCCCAGAAGATCGTGAGTGAATCCCAGATGTCCACCCTTGAGCTACTTTGCTGGACTTAAGTTTTGCTTAGGTGTGCTCAATTCTTCCCTTTAAAATAAAACTCCTTAACTTGTTTTTAATTTTGCAGGAGGCCACAGTTGGGAGACTTTAAAAAGAGACTTTGAACTTTTAGTGTTTGAGTTCTTTTAAGGACTGTGGAACTTTTAAAGTTGTATTGTTTATGTCGTGACATTCACATCATATCTTGGAGATAAGAAATGGAAAGGTTGTGGTTTATAATGTTGTGTTTGTGTGTCAAGCTGAAAAGGGGTCAGTTGTGCTGGACAGCTTTAGTTGTCAACTTGACACACCTGGGTTGAGGGCGCTTCAACTGGGGAATTTCCTCCATTGGACTGGTCTGTGACTGTGTCTGTGGGGTATTTTCTTGATTGTTGAGTGATGTTGGAGGGCCCAGGCCACAGTGGGTGGTGCCACCCCTGGGCAGTTGAGCCTATGTTGGACAAGAAAGCAGGTGAGCAGGGGCCAGGGGAGCAAGCCAGTAAGCAGTGATCCTCCATGGCCTGTGCTCCAGCTCCTGCCTCCAGGTTCCTGCCCCAAGTTCCTACCTTGAGCTCCCTGATGAACTGTGACCTGGGAGATGTAAGATAAATAAACCCTTTCCTCCTCAAGTTGGTATTGGTCAGAGTGTTTTCTCACAGCAACTGAAAGCAAACTAAGACAGTCAGCTGATTAGGTGAATGTGAAAGATAGTCCAGGAAAGTCACACAGCCCCATTGAACCCTCAAGTGGTTCTGAGGAGATTGAGAAAATGAAAGTTTCTCCAGTAGAGAAAAAGTCATGAGAGCTGGAACAAACGACTCCCTCCCTCACTTTCCCAGCCGTGTCATAGACAATCAACACCACAGGATTCCTCATTCCTTCTTCAAATCTTGAGTCATTATTTGTAAGAATAAAGGAGGTGAATGGGTCCTCATTTCTACATAACCACAGAGGAAGAGTGTATGAGACTTTGATCTTATGAGAGCACCAATCAGCTTCTCCAATCAAATGGAACTGAAAGATAAACAAAGAGAGAAAGGCTGTCATTGAGTTTGGTTGGCATGGATGAAATATTTTGCTGCATGTGAGGTAAGCCTGTCTGCTGGAAGATTTGGTATATCTTTCCTCATTATTGCAGAAGAAGTTAAATGCCCTGTTGTCAGTATTCTGTCAATAGTCCGTACATAAGCACCTGTGTCAGTCAGCTTTCCAACACTGTGACCAAATAATCTGAGAAAACTTACTTAAAGGATAAAAGATTAATTTTGGTTTCAGAAGTTTTAACTCGTGGTTTCTCTGCTTCACTGTTTCTGAGAGTGTGGTGAGGTTGAACCCCAACATGGAAAGAGGGTAGTGGAGCACAGCTAGTCACCTTCTCATGGCAGTCCCAAACTGGGAGGGGCCTTTGGGGGCACCGTATACCCTTGTGGACAAGCCCCACTCACCACTTCCTTCATTTAGCTACAGTTCTTAAATGTGACACCACCTCCCTGTAATACCTTCACATCATGGATCCATGAACAGATTGATCTGTAAATGAGATCAAAACACTCAAGTTCCAGCCACCTTCCATCAGTTTCACCTGTGATTACTGCTGCTTTGTGTATTAAGCCATGGACTTTGAGGGACTTTTCAGATCTAAGACATCTTAACCACCAGAAAATTTGCTTGTTTTAAACAACACCTTTATCTGAAGAGCGTGGAGCCCATGAAGTTAGTTCTCTGTTCACTGATTCGGGTTTTGTTGAGTGATGGCATACCAATGTAAAACAGCAAGATATCAGTCCTGTATACATTGTGTATTATTGTGAACGTGGCTCAGATACTGAATTAGAATACAGAGATCTGCAACACAAAATTCATTGCATACCCCTTTAAACAATCTGAATAAATATAAACATGTATTTCTGTGTTCTGAACAGACCCAATGTTCACTGAGTTTGAAATTTCTGGGCACTTTAATTGTTTTCACTTATTTATTTTTGTTTTATGTATATGAGTGTTGCCGCACATGTATGTATGTGTACCACATGTGTGCAATACCCATGGATGCCAGAAGAGAGTGTAGGGTCCCCTGGAATTGGAGTTATGGATAATTGTTAGCCACCTTGTGGGTGCTGGGAATCAAACACACGTCTTTTGCAAGAGCAGCCAGTGCTATTAACTGATAAACCATCTCTCTAGACCCATAAAATTTCTAATATTTTTTAAAGTTATCTTGGAATAGTAAATGAAGAAAGCTAATTTAACTGGTTAACTTGGTAATAATTAAAAATTTCAAATTATAAAAATACAAGGGGTCTGCTGGGGAGAAGAACACACGTTAAACCTCAGCTTGCTTCTGAATTCAGAAAAAAATGAGTTTATATGGTTTCTCTTTAGAGAAATGGGCAAGAACCAGAAAACACTGAAATGGTGAGAACCTCCACCATGCCTAAAGAAACGTGCTCACAGGATGACTGTAAGTGAAGGGGAACAGCTTGTTAGTGACTGCACTTTTCCAAGCCAGGTTCTCATCAAAACCGAGAGGCTATGGCCCTAAGTCCCAGTTCACTGGATCTGGAGCTACGTCAGCTCATTATGGATACTGTTGTAAGGTCAAACTCCTTTTAAAAGTGTGTGCTTGTTCTCCTCAAGTGACCTACACCTTCACAGCCTTTGGAATCCCTTATAGTTTAAAGCATAAGACGAAAGTTCTCAATTACATTTCTAGAGCCTTGGATAGCAGAGTCAAATAAGACCCCTTTTGTCTCTCTTAATTTATCTCCATTTCCCTCTTCTATAAGGTAGATTACTTTGTGAGAAAAATATACTATAATCAGAGTATATGTTTCTGTGACCCAGGAAGATGTTCCTCTGACCCTGTGATGACAAGCCATGGACCTGCCTCCTTCCCATGCTGTACAAATAAGCCACTCCCCTTCCCTCTTCCAGCCAATTGGTTGACTATAGCTGCTTGCAGGGGAGGGGCTAAGGGTATAAAGCTGGGAAAACCACTAGGCTGGCCCTTCCCTATTTTGTAAGGTTGTCCCGAACCCCAGGATTAATGTCTGGGTGTGGACTTTTCGGCATGAGCTGTGAATGGGAGGGCGCCCGCTTGTCTGTAAGTAAACGCATACCCCAAGCTCAGTTAGCAAGTCCAATAAACTCGTCAAGACTCTTCAAACGAGGGTTTGGAGAATTTTTTTTTCCTCAGGCTTTTGCAAGGACGTTGGGAGGAGGGAATTGGATGCCACGTGCACCTCCCAGCAGTGAATTTGACTTACAGTGGTTTGATTAGGAATGTCCTCTATCAGCTCATGTATCTAAACACTTGGTCCCTAGTTAGTGGTCTTGTTTGGGAAGGTTATGGACCTTTTAGGATGGAAGCCTCTCTGGAGGAAGTGCATCGCAGGGGTGACTCTGAGCATTTATAGCCTGTCCCCTTCCAGCTTGTGGTATGGCTTCCTGTGTTCAGGTGAGATGTGATCTTCCAGCTTCCTGCTCCTGTTGCTGATTGCCTCCCCGAGTTGATGGATGCTGATCTTTCTGGAACCATAAGCCAAAATAAACTCTCTTTTTAAAATTTCTTTTGGTCAATGTATTTTATCACAGCAACAGAAAAATAACTAATACAGCATATCACCAGCAATGTGCCACCATCCAGCGTCTGCTTCTTTTCAGGTCCCTGCAGTTGCCTGAAATATGTTAGCCGATTTCCTTCATCCTTGAGATCAAACAGGGCCCAAGTAACACTTACATGCAATTGTAATTTGCTGCATCCTTCTTCAGGTTTCTGAGTTTCATCCTAATTTAGATTTAAGATTCATGACGATTCAACCATTGTGAATAGTTCTCTTGCAACCTCTATAGAACTGAGAGCAGAACGGAGCATAGAAGAAACTGATTGATGGGACAACTGACTGATGAAATTGAGAAGTGATCACAGCAAACTAAAATACATGAGGTCAAACACATTCATAAATTATAGAGACCAATATCACTCAGAGAAGAAAGTGCTTGGCATAGCACTAACGAGACTTTTTTTTTTAAAGTTTAAAAATTAATAGAAATAACAGAATATCAACATCAGAAGAGATCTGAAGGGTCAGAGGAAGAGAAAGTAATGACATACGTGTGGTATGAAAACAGAATGGAGGACTACTTGAGGAAAGACAGGAACCAGTCAGAGGGGACAGGGGAGGGCAGTACAGGAAGTGGATGAATTAGAACAATGTATAATGACATGTGTGTCAAATCTCTCCCTCCCCTCTCATGACCCCCTTATAGTTTCATGAACTAAATATACATATGTGCATATATACATACATATGTATACTTTGAAAACTAGGCTTCACATTAAAGACAAAGTAACAGTATTTGTTTTCTGAGTCTGGCTTATTTCACTTAACAAAATGATATTTTCTGTTTGATTTATTTTCCTACAAATATCATAATTTCATTTTTATTCATGACTGAATAAAATTCAATTGTGTATACATACTTTTTTTATCCCATTTGTCTGTTGATGGACATCTAGGCGGGTTCCATTTCCTGGGTATTGTGACTATGGCGGCAATGAACATGGATGCACAAGTATCTCTGTGGTATGCTGACTTGGAGTTCCATGGGCATGTACCCAAGAATGGTAAATTGAGTCATGTGGTCATTATATTTAGTTTTGCTTTGAGGAAACCGCATGCTGATTTCCAGGTTCATCTCATGAGTCTGCATTCTCACAACTGTGTAAAGTGTTCCTCTTTACTCTCATTCTTCTCTCCTCCTCCTCTTCCTCCCCTTCCTCCTCCTTCTCCTCCTCCTCCTCCTCCTCCTCCTTCTCCCCCTCCTCCTCCTCCTCCTCTTCCTCCAGATAGGACCTCCTTATAGCCTTAGCTGCTCTGGAACTTGCTATATAGACCAGGCTGACCTTGCTCCACCTGCCTCTGCCTCCGAGGTGTAGGGATTAAAAATGTGTGCCACAATGTTTGGCTTCAGCATTAGTATTCTTTATGATACCTGTTCTGCATTTCCCTTCTAGCTAAGGATGTTGAACACTCAAGTATTTATAAATCATTTGTGCTTCTTCTTTTGATAATCGTCTATTCACTTATTTAGTCCGTTTAATGATTAGATTATTTTGCTTTGGGGTGTTTTTTTTTCATTTCTTTATATAGCTTAGATATTACTCTCTGACTGACACACAATTGGTTGTTTTCCCCTCATGTAGCTGTCCCTTCACTCTGATGATTGTTTCCTTTACTGCGTAGAACTATTTTGATTTCATGTAATCCAGTTTGTCAACTGTTAAGATTGTTAGAATTCTTTTCAGAAAGTCATTCTCTGTTTATGTCTTCAGAGATTTTACCTATGTTATCTTCTAACAGTTTCAAAGTTTCAGGTCTTGCAAAAGATACTTGATCCATGTTGAATTGATTCTTTGTTGTTCAGAGTGAGAGACAGAGATCAAGGTTCATTCTTTTATGTGGGAAATCCAGTTTTCTTAATGCCATTTGTGAAAGAGGCTGCTTTTCTACTTTGGAATCTTGTCAAAATTCCTATAGCTATAATGTGTGAGTTAATTTGTGGTTCCTATATTCTGTTTCATTGGTCTACATGTTTGTGTTTGTGCTGGTACCATGCTGCTTTTTCTTTTTAATTATGGCTTTATAATATTGAGATCAAGTATCACAATACCTCCAGCATTGCTCTTTCTGTTAAGGATTTCTTTGGCTCTTTGTGGTCTTTTGTACCTCCACATGAATTTTAGGATTGACTTTTTCTAGCTCTATGAAGAATGTCTTTGGGATTTCTATGGGAATTGCATTGAATCTATAGATCACTTTTGGTAATGTGGCCATTTTATAGTATCAATTCATGAGGATGGGAGTTCTTTCCATTTTCTAGTGTCTTTGATTTATTTCTTGAATATTTTAAGGTTTTCATTATAGAGGACTTTCACCTCCTTGGTTAGATTTACTACTAGTCATTTTTAAAGCCAACATTAATGGGATTTTTTTCCCTGATTTATTTCTCATCAAGTCTGTTTCTGGTATCAGAATAGTCACTGATTTTGCAAACTGGCTTTGTATCATGCTACTTTATTGAAAGTGCTTATCAGTTTTAAAAGTATTCTGGTTGAGAGTTAAGGATCTTTGAGTATATCATCACATTATCTGCAAAGAGGGATAATTTGACTTCTTTTTCTATTTGGATCCCTTCTGTTTCTCTCGTCTTACTGCTCTAGCTAAAACTCTGAGTACCATGTTGAAAAAGTATGGAGATAGTAGGCACTTTTGTCTCTAGACTTTAAAGAAAATGCTCTTGGTTTTCCCATCTGGTTAACTGCAGGTTTGTCATACACAGGCTTTTATGTTGGGGTATGTCCCTTCTATTTCTAGCTTCTTCAAGGCTTCTATACTGAAGGGATGATCAATTCATGGAAGACCTTTTCTGTATCCATTGAGGTCACCATATGATACCTGCCCTTAAGTCTATTTATATTATACTTACTGATTTGTGTATCTTGAACCAAACTTTCATGCCATAAATAAAAAAAAACTTAGTCATGATGTATAGGCTTCTTAATGTGCTCTTATATTTGATTTGCAAGAACCTTATTAAGAATTTTTGTGTCTTTGCTCATCATTGAAATTGCTTATTGTTTCCTTTTTATTGTTCTGACCTTACTCAGTATTGCCATCAGTGATGCTGACTTTATATGATGACTTTGGCAGAGTTCACCCCTCTCTGTTTTATAGAACAGGTTGAGGAACATTGATATTAGCACTTCTTTAAAGGTTTGGGAGAATTTAGCAGTGATTACATCTTTATATCTGGTGCTGGACATTTTTATTTTTGTTGGTGAAACATTACTGCTTAAGCCTCATTGGTTATTATGGCTCTGTTTAACTTGTTAATACCAGCCTAATTCAATTTTGATGTTATATGTGGTTAAGAATTTATCCATTTCTTCTTGATTTTCCAGTTTAATATAAATTTTCAAAGAAATCCACAATCTCTGAGTTGTATTGGAATCTCTACTAACCACCACTTTTTTTTTCTTTTGGTCTTTTTGAGACAGGGTCTCCCTGTAGCTCCAGCTGTCCTGGAACTCACTATGTAGACCAGGCTGGCCTCGAACTCACAGAGATCCGCCTGCCTCTGCCTCCCAAGTGAGTGTTGGAATTAAAGGCATGTGCCACCACGCCCGGCCCTAACCACTTCTTTTACATTTCTAATTTTGTTAAAATTCAATCATTTACTTTCTTTGGGGTACTCTCACCAAGACCTTGTCAGTCTTGCTTATTTCTTTCAGAAGACCCAAACGATGCTCTGTGCTTGTTCTTTTCATCTCCGTTTCATTCATTTCTCCCCTGATCATTATTTCTTACCACTTACTATTTTTTGTTTTATCTCATTTTTGTTCTTCTCAAACCTTTAGAGGAATCCTTAGGTTATTTACTTGAGCTCTTTCTAAATTTTGAAAGGTCAGCACTCACAACTATAAAGTTTCTTCTGAGAACCAATGGCTATATTCCCAAAGTTTCTGTCATTTCTTAATTTCCTCTTTGATTTGCTCAATGATCCAGTGGTCACCTAAGAGTACATTGTTCAATCTTCATATATATTTGTATTTTCTTCTTACTGATTTCTATTTTTATTGTATTATGATCTGCTAATATGCAAATAATTGTTTCTATTAATTTGTTTTTTATAAGACTTGATTAGTTGGGGCTGGAGAGATGGCTCAGCAGTTAAGAGCACTGGTTGTTCTTGCAGAAGACCCAGGTTCGAATCCCAGCACACACATGGCAGCTAACAACTGTCTGTAACTCCAGTCCCAGAGGATCTGACAGCTTCTTCTGACCTCCACAGGCATTGCACAACATGGGTACGTTTACCTACATGCAGGCAATACACACACATAAAATAAAAACAATAAATAAAATTTTCTTAGACGACTTGATTAGTGACCTAGAATGTGTCTATTTTAGAGATGGTTCTATGGGCTTTTTACTTTGAGAAAAACATGTATTTATTATCTACTGGGTACAATTTTTTGTATGTATCTATTAGGTCCTTTTAATTATGATGTATTTTAACTTTAAAATCTCTATTAACTTTAGTTTGTATGATCTATCTAGAGATGATAATGGAGTATTGAAATCATCCATTATTATTTTATAAGAACTTTTCTGAAATATTTTATCCATTGGTATTTGTTTCATGAAATACTAAGCCCCAACAGTTGGTACATATATATTTACAACTTATTATGTTTTCTTTTAAAAATATTTTATTGATTCTTGAAGAATTTCATACAATGCATTTTTATCACATTCAGACCCCCTTCCCTATCTCCAACTGCATCCTATACCCCAGCACACTTCACGTCCTTTTTTATTCTTTGACTGTTTGTAAAACCTGTTGAGTCTAATCTGTGTTCTTCAGATCTTTTTGGGTGTGAGTCTATCCCTTGGAGTCTGGTCAACTTACCAGACACCATACCAGTAAGAAAACTGACTCTCCCAGCAACCCTCAGTTGTTAATAGATCCTCAGTTAGGGCTGTGGCTTCTTTCCCCCCTAACCTCTACCTGCTTGGTTTTTGTCTGACTCGGGCTTACACAGCTTTTGTGCATGCTGTCACAAACACTGTGGGTTCATATTTGCAACTACTATGTGGTGTCCAAACAACACAGTTTTCTTGTGTTCATTCACCATCTCTGGCTCTTATAATCTTCCCACCCCCCTTCCACAGTGATCCCTGAGATTTTTGGAGGCAAAGGTGTGATGCAGGCTTCCCACTTAGGGCTGAGCACACTTCAGTCTCTTATTTGCTACATGTTGATGAGCTGTGGCTTCTGTGTTAATTGACATATCCTACATTCTACTGTTTTGCTTATTTTCAATCCTATCTCTTCTCTCATGATTGCCCTAACAGTCCCTAATTAGTTTCCTGATACCTAAGAATTTTACAATGGAAACATACCTATCTAAAGATTCAAAACTAACATCCACTTATCTGAAAGAATATGCAACATTTGTCTGTGTCTAAAATTACCCCACATAGGATGACTGCCTCCAGTTCCATCCATTTACCTGCAAATTAATGCAATTTTGTTTTTCTTAACAGCTGAATAATATTCCAGTGTATAAATTTTCCACATTTTCATTATTCATTCATCAGTTGATGGATATCTAGGTTGTTTCCATTTCCCAGCTATTGTGAGTGAAGCATCAATAAACACGAGTCTCTGTAATAGGACATAGAGTCCTCTGGTTATATGCCCAAGAGTGATATGGCTGGATCATGTGGGAGATCTATTTGTAGCTTTGTGAGGAACCTCCACAATGGTTTTCATAGTGGCTGCACCAGTTTGCACACCCACCAGCAATGAATAACTGTTCTCTTTTCTCCTCACCTTTGCCAGCAGTTGCCATCATTGTTTTTTGGATCTTAGCCATTCTGACTGGGGGAAGAAGGTATAGCCATTAAAGGTTCAGACTCATAACCAAAAAGAAATATCAAAGTAGTTTTAATTTGCATTTCCCTGTTGGTTAAAGATATTGAATTAAAAATATATGTATTTCTCGGGGGCTGGAGAGATGGTTCAGTGTGTTTACTGCTCTTCCAGAGGACCAGAGTTTGGTTCCCACCACCTACATGGTGGCTAATGCCCTCCTTAACTCCATTTCCAGGGTATCTAACACCCTGTTCTGACCTCCATGGGTACTAGGTGTGCACATGGTCTACTTACATACATGTGATCAAAATATGTCATCGCAAGGTTGCATTCCCTCTAGCAGTGAATGAACATTCCCCTTTCTCCACATCCCCACCTGCGTTTGGTGTTTTTTTCTCTTGATCTTAACCAGTCTGACTGGGACAAGGGGATAAAAAGGAATCTTAAAGCAGTTTTTTCTGCATTTCTCTAATTACTAAGAATGTTGATCACCTTTTAAGGTGCTTCTTAGCCATTTGTATTTCTTTGTTTGAGAACTCTCTGTTCAGGTCTATAGCCCATCTTTCTATTGGGTCATTTATTTTCTTGTTTGTTTTTTGAGTTCTTTGTATATTCTGGGTATTAATCCTCTGTCAGATGTGTAGCTGGTGAAGATTTTCTCCCACTCAGTGGACATCCTTGTCTGGGTTCTGAGTTTAATGGGAATGATTCCAGTTTTTCTCCACTTAGAATGATCTTGGCTGTGGGTTTGTTGTATATAGCTTTAATTATGCTGAGGTATGTTCACTCCAGTCCAATTCCCTCTAGGTCTCTGAACATAAATTCATGTTGAATTTTGTCAAAGGCCTTCTCTGCATCTATTGAGATAACCATGTGGTTTTTGTCTTTGAGTCATTTATATTATTTATGATGTTTATTGACTATGTATATTGAACCATCCCCGCATCCCTGGAATAAAGAACCTGGATCATGGTGGATGATCTTTTTGATGTGTGTCTGTATACAGTTTGCAAGTATTTTGCTGAGAATTTTTATGTTCATGTTCATTAAGGATATCGGTCTATAGTTTTCTTTTTTGGTTGTATCTTTACCCGGTTTTGGTATTAGGGTGATGCTGGATTCGTAGAAGGAACTTGGAAGTTCTCCCTCTGTTTCTATCTTTTTGAATAATTTAAGTAGTATTAGATAGAGATCTATACACTATTAAATTTGAAAACCTAAAAGAAATGGATGGGTATCTAAAATCATGAGAATCACCAAAGCTTAACCAAGAAGAGATCAACAGACCCACAACACATAATGAAATTGAAACAGTAATACAAAACATTCCATCTAAAAAAAGCCCAGGCCCACATAGATCCACAGCAGAATTCTCCCAGACATTTAAAGGAGATCTATATCCAATACTATTTAATTTAAATGTGTCCTCTTTCAGGTCACTGGTCATTTTAACCAGTAAATTTTCATCTGGAACCTTACCTATTTCAGTGCCTTTAAACCAGCAGTAGAGGAGTTTGGATATTTTGGAGGAATCATGTAGCCTGCTTTCTCATGTTTTATGTGTTTCTCTCTTTGGTTCACACATCTGTTAGTTTAGATAGCTCTTCTGGTTTTATTTAGGATTTTTTAGCAACCTACTTTTGAAGGCTCAATCCCCAGTGCCACTCAGGAATGTAAAAACAAATTGCTTTCAGAACTGGCTTCTATATTGCCTCCTCCCAGCCAGAGAGCTGCACGGCTGAATCTGTGTTTCACGTCTTATCACTGAATCACCTGTCCTTTTTTTTTTTTTTTTTTTTTTTTTTTTTTTTTTTTTTCCCTTTTTTTTTTTTTTTTTGTTTATTCTTTTTTTGGGTCTCTGAATCGTCCCCTCTTTATCCCTTCAGAACAGAACCTGGTGTTTGAGTTCTTTTTCTTATGATAACTTTCTCTTTCACTGGCTCCAACAGAGGCAGTTTCTACTGTGCCGTCTTACCAGAAGTTCTGATAGTGTGGGGAGGACAGAGCCTCCCTAGAAAAGCCTTGCTTCCATTCCTTTGTAAGAGAGATAAGATCCACAACAGCCACAGAAACTCTACCCTTAGATCTTACTTAAAATTACTGTCAAGAATATTCTATTGGCAGGGGTGGGGGGTCGGGGGGAGCTATTTCTCAGTGTAGAGTTCCTGCCCCATGTGCATTAAACTCAGTTCAATCTCCAGTACATTCAAAAAAGAATGTGGGGAATATATCATTTTCAAAACAGATAGTACATTTTGAATAGTTTTTCAAGGAAATAAAGGAGTGTTACTATTTCAAGATATGTATATTAATATAAAACTTAAGGCTAACACATCAGGAGACACCTGCCATTGAGTGGTTTGTTATAGATCCCAAGAGGAAGAGGCAGGGCATACCACATACACCACATGGGGGAGCTCCAAGTCAGTCAAGAGGCAGAGGGGGAGGGGAACTGACAGGAATCTTTATGATGGGAATAAACAGTTTTGGCAAGGTAGGCAGGCTCATGTTTGGGTGATACAAAGCTTGTCGGCAGACTATGAGGCACAGAAGCTAGCTAGCCCTAGTTGTCTGGTCCTGGCCCTGGGGTGATTTGGGAAATTAGAGGCCAGTTGCACACCTGGAGTGTGTTAGTCAGATAGAGAATGTGGGCTCTGGGTTATTTTATATTTAAACACACCTAGGTTAGAGGATACTTTCTAGTGAGGGAAGGCACTAAAAAGGATCCAAGAAGGCAAGGCCAGGGAATGTACTTTCAAAAAAGAAAGTGTGGGGAATATATCATTTTTAACTTGGGAACATTAAGAGGTGGTTCAGAGTGAGATGTGTTCAGTATATAAGCATAAGTCAGACTGCAAAGCATCTTCTTTACAGAGCTAAAATCATGGTTCTGGATTACAGAGACAGTATTAAGGTGGTACGATTGCTATTTCTCACTGTCTTATAAACGTATTTCTCCACTAATAGCTCTGAGTATTGGGTCACTATAGAAATAGCAGAAATATGCCCTCTTTAGCAACATAAAATAAAGCCGACAGCTGGTACATGGCCTGTTTCTACCTTCACACCAGACAAAGAGGCTGATTCATGAAGAAGCTGATTTACAAACAAGCTAGTGGAAGCTAACAAGTGACCGGAATAGATGTTGATTGTAAGTGAAATAAACTGTAACCACAACATTGAGCCCATAACCCTGGTAGTAAAATAAAATGAAGTGGAAGAAGTCATGCTGTAATAACAATTTAATATTCACCAGATTGTAAAGTGAATCTGGGAGGAATCGTCACACATGCAAGAAGAAAA